TATATACGCACACATATACATACATACACACACGTATATATGTATCATACACACACACATACATACATACATGCACACACACACACCTCCTGGAACAGCTTTGCCATTTCCTCTCCATTCAGTGGCTCTGCAGGTGGCCTGCCCTTCTTAGCCGTCATGTCGACCTGCGGGATTGTGTGTAGTGAACGCAGTCAGAGCTAGCACATACAAATCAACTTCGTGGTCAGTATCCAAACCCGTACAGAGCCCCATAGCACATACACGGTTGACACACGCCCATATACACTAATGCAAGTACATCCCCGCTATGCACTCTCAGGCAAATAGACTCACGTTATGTACCAATGGCTTAAGTTGGGGTACAACAGAGTGGAGGCGTAGAGTGGAGACACGCTTGTACAGAACCACTGCAACGACCAATACATATGCGTTGGGATGTTATGCGCCGGAAACACTGTCTAGGCACATTAAAGGCAAGCACGTACGGGGGCGTGTCTGTGTGGCCTGAACCAACCAACCGAGTACTAGGTTGGTTGGTTCACGCATTCACCTGATGTACTAAATCTGCTATGCTCTGCCACAATGCAGCCTGTCAAGGAAGCCAGTGAGGAATTTGCGGCACACTAGCCACCCGGCTGAAGCCTCTAACTAACACGGCAATACTAATCAAAACGCCTCTCCGTATACACACGATACGGGTACGATAGTGATTGATAGCCATAGACACTGTATTAGCACTGTATGAAACTACATACTAGCACTATATGAAACTACATACTAGCATTATATGAAACTACATACTAGCACTATATGAAACTACATACTAGCAACATATGAAACTAAATACTAGCACTATATTAAAACTACATACTAGCACTATATGAAACTACATGCTAGCATTATATGAAACTACATACTAGCACTATATGAAACTACATACTAGCACTATATGAAACTACATACTAGCACTATATGAAACTACATACTAGCAATATATGAAACTACATACTAGCACTATATTGAAACTACATACTAGCACTATATGAAACTACATACTAGCACTATATGAAACTACATAGACCCCACTAATACAATATATACATATCAGTACTCACCTCGAACTTGACAGACGACATGTAGCCGTTGGCATCTGCCTGTGGGCTGAACGGCTTCACCAGCATCGGCCGATTCAGAGCCAATTCGGCCCATTTTCGCTGATGAAAGGTGAACCCTAGCTGTCCCTTCGCCATCCCCTTGTCGGTGCTGTTGGGCAGAGATACAGTTTGTGACGTATGAAAGCATTGCAAAATAACGAACTATGTTACTTCATCACACCCGAAGTAGTTGTGTGTCATCCATTTACAAAATCTCATAGCTAACTATGATTATATACAACGATACGGGATCGAACAAACGAATACAATAAACATATTTATTATATGTATACGTGTATGTATTTACACATAGGGATATATATATACATATTTATACATATGTATATATATGTGTGTGAGTGTATATACATACTATATATATATATATATATATATATATTATATATATATATATATAATATATATATATATATATATAATAATAATAATAAATAAATAATAAAGTAAATAATAATAATAATAAGTATAAGTATAAGT